GGTGATGTGAGAGCCTGGTCCGGTGAGAACCCGGCGTGCCCCGTCCCGCCTTTGTAGGGATGCGAGGTCAATGGTCTAACGACTACGGTATGCACGACTATGAGTACCCCCCCCCCCCCCCCCCCTTCGCGCGCCCACCAGCGGAGCCGATCAACATTTCCAGCTTCAACGGAGCTACGGTGCTAGCTATGGTCGTAATCTCCGCAACGGCGCTTGCTGTCGACTTCGCCAAGTTTCGGGCCGCGGAGCTGAAAAGCACGGGCCGTTCCGATCCCGCCGCTGCACCCCAAGAGCGGGGAAGAGAGCACACCCAGGTCCCAAACGGCCTTGACGGGCACGGAGGTGACGGTGGTGGCGGGGCTTTGGCACCCCCGGAAAGGTTAAGCCGGGCGTCCAGCAGCTCCGCGGAGAACCGGGTGCATCGCAGGAGGGCTTGCGTTCTAGCCGGGTGGACTATCGGGGCGCTCGTCTGTCATAGGTGGGTGGGTGGGGGGGGGGGGTACTCATAGTCGTGCATGCCGTGTCGTTAGGCCATTGACCTCGCATCCCTACCAAGCCGGGACGGAGCACGCCGGGTTCTCACCGGACCAGGCTCTCACATCACCAAGCGCGAAGCGCCGTGAGNGCCGTGTCGTTAGGCCATTGACCTCGCATCCCTGCGAAGCCGGGACGGAGCGCGCCGGGTTCTCACCGGGCCAGGTGGGAAGGCGGCGGTAGCACGCGAGGGACTTTTGGGTGCCCTGGTGACTGACTGATGATATGGAGCGTGCGCAACCTCTCCCCCAAACTACTTAGATGCCAGATTCTCTCGCCGAGTGCATGCTTGTAGCCTTTGGTTCAGCAGCAGCGGTACTGCTAGACGAGGTACACAAGGCGCTCGTCCACCCACTCCTCCTTAGTAGTTAAACTGGAAGAAAAATCATGCCTGTACCGTTCATGAGCAGCACGATACTACATTTAGAGAAACGGGTCAAGGGGAACACCTTCCAAAAAATACTCAGTTTAATTGTATGCGTATCATGATGTTGCTTGTAAAATAGTTGCATAAGAACGGGACCAAACAGGTCACATGTGCTGATACGTTTTATCAGCCTTCGGCAGGGGGCACGTTTGTTCCACGTCAACCAACCCCTTCGAAAAGTTTGCCAAGTTTCCTGGCCGAAAATGAACAAGCTGGCGTCCAGCCGAGGGTATACGGTGGTCACCCTACTCTCACTGAGCATGCAGGAGCTACTGCTTGTGGATTTGTCGAACCTATCTCATTACTTCTCAAGCCTGGCTGATGCTCTCTTGTCCTGCCTCTTTCTGGCGGTGGGGTTGGTTTTTTCGCTGTCTCGTTGTCGTTGTCACCGGAAACGGAAGGTTGGGATCGATAACCTTGGCAAGGGTCTTTGCGACGATAGGGTCGTTCGTGGCATGCCTCCCGTACCTCCTTCGCTCCTCCAAGTACCGCCGAGGTATGTACCATGACACAAGAAAATAAGATGCATGCATTTTTGTGTAGATTGCTCGGTGAAGTTGTTTGTTGAGAGATACCGGGGAGAAGTATGAGGCTTCTCAATATGAGTACGTGAATATGCTTTGACGTGGGCGTTAGGGCCATGCCTTGGACATTCCTTGGAGGAATCACGGGGAGATTTGTGTTTCCTGAGGGTGCCTGGCCGTGGTGATCAGGTCTTCCGCACGTTCATCATTTGGTGTCCTATGCATATAGCGCGAGTGCAAGTTCTCGCCGGAAGAGGGTATTAATAGAACGACGTATCCCGAGAGCCTCAGGCTCGTCCTTTCTCTGAAGAGAGTGCTGTTGCCCATCCGCTGCCGAAGCGCCTCTATCACAGAACTCGTGTCCTACCCTGTATTGTACGTGTGTATGGCCGACTGCCGAGGCCACCAGCAATGGGGACTGCTTTGAGCCTACTGAATGCTGTCACGTGGCCGATACACCCGCCTTCCCGTCGAAGGCTTGAGAAAGTATGCCTGCAATCCCGCGCCGATATGGGCTGTTTTACCATGCCCCGTGAGTTTTTTCCTTTTCTGGAGGGTTCAGAATGCGTTCTAATATGATGCTTCCGTTTCAGTGACGTCAAAACCTCAATCTTAGCCACCGAACCTGTGTGCATTGCGTTTAGTTTGTACTGCTTGATGTGTGCCGCTTTGAGGGTTCCGTGTGGAACAGTGGGGGTGTCCGTGTATGTAGTTAGGTTGTCGATTTATTGCATGCATCGATGGCGAATGATCGAGATACTTGATATCGAGAAGTCCAAAATTCTTCGATAGCCGACACCAATACGATACATGGAAATATTCGATATGATAATAACTAACGCTTAAACCTGCCCACGACTGCTCTTGTCCGTTCCTCGTGTAAATTATCTCTCCCTCTCTCTCGCTCGCTCTCTCTCTCTCTCTCCCTCGCTCTCTCTTTTCCTCCCCGGCTTACTCGGTTGCCTCTCAGATAGGGGGCTCGGGTGTCTGCTAGAGACCGGCGACAAGCGACGTCCCTTGACGGACATGCTCGTATGGACGAGTTTCGTGTACTGCTTGCCCTCGGTGTACGGACTGTACGCCCATCAGGTGCGCAGCAGCGGCGGCGGCGGCGGCGGTGGTGGTTGTCTCTCGGAGCCTCTTTTTCAGTGTGCCATCAAGCTGTCGTGTGTGTTTTGCCTTTAGCCGGTGCTTCTTTCGTTGCGGGTAGGCCGGAAGTTGGGGTGGATGCCGCGGTTGATTGCGCTTGGTTGGTTAACTGCACATGCATGCGGGTATGATTTGTGTCTCCGCCCTTGACGCGACGAAAATTGTTGGTTGTTATTTTGGGCGGTGTGTCCACGGAAGACTCCTGTGAAGAAGCACGATCCTCGGTATGGCGGCGAGTCGGCGGAGCTACGCGTGCGGCAGCATGGCAGTAGCTGTGCGACTTACAGCGAACACGAACCAATGGCGGCAAATACGCGGACATTTGCTCTAAGGTTTATGGTATTGGTAGCGTTTTGGTTGTAATCTCGGACGAGCGAGCGTCCGTTTCACTTTCACTTTTTGCTGGTGCTACAAAATGGTGTTACCCACCAGTCCAGCCCTAATTGTTGTTTTTCAAAAATGTCGGTACGTCATGCCCTTGCAATGGGAGTCACCGCGCCGTTCACCTCTCTTTCTCTCTCTATGTATATATCTTTATCTATCTATTTATCTACCTTGTTCTCTGTTCCTCTCTGTCTCTCTCTCCTTGTCTCGCTCGCTCTCCTACTCCCCCCCTCTCATCCATTCTCCCTGTCGTTTGCATCTCTCTCCTTGTCTCCCTCCCTCTCCTCCGACACAACACGGCACGACACGACACAGTACGGAATCGCCGCGCTTCAGTTCATGACCACGATCGGGTCTACGCTGTTCCACCTGACGAGGGAGACGAAGTTCTTCAACCTGGACAACGTCTTCGCCACGAGCCTGCTCTCGACCACAGCGTGGAGCCTGTACCTAGGGGTCACGCACGGTGAGTCCGGGAGGACACCTGAGTGCCTTGCTTGCTGCTCGTCCGCTCTGTCTGTTCAAGGACGAGGTTGAGCAACAATTGATCCCTGCTATGGAGGAAAGTTGGTCCAAATCGGTTTTCGTGTGTTGGATTGTTTAGAATGTGTGGACTATGCCCCAACATCATGTAGATCGGGACGCGAGGCAAACTATCTCTCGCCCGTTTCAGCTTGTGCTGAGCCGTCGGCTGCTGTACCCCCGCACGTGAGAAACACGCCTTTCTCGACGTGGCACTGGTGTAACGGTCCTGGGCATCTTTAGAAAGTGGTACGCCACATTCCATCACATACATACTAGCCGTCGGAGATACAACCACAGTCGAAGGGGATGTGTGGCGGTGAATGGGCGAATCATCGGCTGCACGCTGGCGGTGTGGCGAGTCTATTTGAGCCTATACACCAATTTTTAGAAACAGCAGTGATTCCCCACCGTTGTGTGGGTGACAGCTGTACAGATGACGTATTCACCATAAAGAATCTTATTAGGAAAAATAAAAATACACACAGAAAGACTCCCTGTTCGAGATATACCCACAGTCGAATGGGATGTGGTGGAGTCTTTTCAGCGAGTGGAGGAAAACCAGCTGGGTGCTGGACTTTTTTCGAGTCTGTTAAAAGTCTTTACACTGATGATTTATATTCAGTGACGTGTCCACCATATAGAATCTTGCAGTTACTCTCACGTCAGTACGTCTACTCGATCCCGATCATAGTCGTGATTGCTCGACCACACTACATACATACTGCTGTGCGCCAAATACAATTAGGGGTCTGGTGGTACGTGGTGGTCATCGGCCTAGGAGGACCCTTCGCGATCTTCTGCATCGTGCGTTGCGGAATGCCGGGCCTTGTCTGCAGGCACCCGACTGGGGGCGGGCTCTGTCGACGAAGCAATCCGGAGTACGATTTCTTCCACATGTTGTGGCACCTGTCGTCCGGGCTAGGTGAGGGAGCATAAAGAGGAAATTGTATATGAGATCGCCCTCGTAACGTTCTATTTTTCTTTGTTGAGAGAATGATCGAGATGTGTGTAGGCACGGATAGTAAGAGGGACGTCGGCAGTCAGGGCATGACAAAGAACGATCGAGACGTGTATGCACATGGTGCGTGTAGAATGTTAGGTTTGAAAGCGGGCGTCAGCAGCCATCCATGCGCACGATACCTTGCAGGAATGTCCGGACAATCCTGTGCTACCGTAGCTGTTCTGCGACGAGTTGCCACCCTTAGCCTTGGCGGTACGTGTACGTGTTCGCTCGTTGCGGGCCTATCTCTCCCGGTGGAAAGTGAGGTGTATGCGGAAAGTATGCATCGCCTAGCTGTTGTCAATGATATTGTAGCTTGTACTCGGACGGCGTGGGCGACGTGCATACGCGGTGCATCGCTCGGCGCTTGCGCCCCCCGCCCCGTTCGAGTGGAGCGAGGGTCGGAGGGAGGAATCGCATCCTCCATCCCTCCCTCCCTCCCTCCCTCCCTCCCTCCGCAAGGCACGACAAGGGATACAATGAAACACAAGGTTCTACGGCCGGTCAACTGCGACACATGCCCGAACATGAGAAATACATACAAACCGCGGCCGACGCCCCAACTCCCTGCTTCCCTCTCGCCCGTCCCATCGTACACCGTGGTTGCCGAAGGCACTCTGATAACGATCCATTTCTTCGAGGTTCACTTTCCGGCGGAGGAGGCCGGAGGGGGTTGGTTCCACTACTTCCCGGACGTGCCGGTGGTGCCGACGGTAGCGCTGGCCTTGAGCGCCTTGATAAACTTGTACGGCAACCGCGTGGGAGTCATGCCGCTCGAGTGAGAACCGTGTTCCCACTCCACTCGACTACTTTTGTCTCTTGATCGCGTGCTCGGGCAAAAGCGCGTTGTGCATGCGGTGGACCCCCAACCATAAAGTTGTTGATGTTTGCCCGCCCCACCCCCCGGAACCCAGTAGCCTTCGCGAAAATATTAGTGTTTGTTCTAGTAGTGGAGGGTGGGGTAGGGTCAGGGGTTAGGGATACGAAACCCCCCTCTACATTGGATAGACTTGACAAGAATATCCTCGGGAAGGTGGTCCCGGGACCACTGCTGTTGACATGCCCTTTGTCCCTCCGGTTACAAGTCGGAGGAAAGCGTTGCGCCTGGTTGAGATGTGATTTTTTTTGGAACAATTTGCAACGAACGAGTGCAAGTGTTTCAGAAGGGGAAGGAAGCTGTGCCCCCCTGTCAACCCCGAGACACGTCGTGTTGTTTCCTGTAGAAATGGGAGTAAACGCTAGAACAGGTGGTGTCGAGTTGTGTTTCTGATTCCGGTGAATGGTGCGTGACGGTGTCGTTGTCAGCTCCGAGGCGAGGTGGCTTAGCTCTGAGCTCCTGCGTTTGACAAAGGTCGGCGTGCAAGCTTCCGTAGCCGCGAAGATGAGTTTTTTCAACGTCCATCTGTGGGGTGCGGGCAGCTATTGGATCACGGCTGGTGGTGCTGTCGTTCGATCGACCTCAGTCATCTCAAGCCTGTAGCGTGTTTGTTCATGATGGTGCTGCAGAGATATGTAGTCCATAGTGTGTCGAAGAACAGCGATAGTGCTCTCGTGACTGTAATCGGGTAGCGGCTGAAGCTGGTCCTTTAGAGGGTTCGTGGGGAGACCTTGGTTGATCTTTCGGAGATCATGATTGATCTTTGGGGGATCGTGTTCCCCGTCGTAGAGGCGAGGACAAAATCTTGCTGCGGCTGTCGGTTTCGAAGGACGAAAAACGAGAACGCAGAGTTCCGAACTTTGTAGAGTAAATAGTCAGTTTCCGGGTACTTTCCAAATCCCAGTAGAGATACAAACTGTTCATTTTGCTGTCGTTGCATTTCGGGGGTCGCAGTCTTGATAGGCACGGTGAGGGAGTCGCTTGACTACGTGATGCTTGGAAGTTGTTGCGCGATTGGGAGCCAAGAACGAGGAGGGGGCTCTGCAGAGGTAGGTCTAAGAGCCCCGGCCATTCCGAGAAGAGTTTGTTGGTGCCATGTGTAAGGATGTTTGGAGTGTAGGTTCAAGTGCCGTGCTCCTTCTCGGAGGCAGCCTTCCGTCTTGCTCTGCCTGTGTGGTGTAGAGAGGCGGAAACGGACCAACGCGATCGATCGATCGATCGATCTATTCATCCATGTAGGGAGGACGACCGCTGTACATAGCGAAGAGAAAAACTTTTTAGTACTGTAGCTGTGTTATTTTTTGCGTCGTCGTAATTGACTGGGAGCACGGAGGAAAGTAGTGGCGTTGTACGCTCACGTACGTCCGTGCATGTGAACGCCATCGATCGGCATCACCTTGTCTCTATTGTGTTAGCCCTTTGTGTGCTTTTTATGTTGGTACTATGTTAGGATGGTAGACGCGGCGCCATCATGTTTTGGATGCTGGTCCTACGATAATAGTAGACGCGGGTCGTTGGGGTCGAGGGCACCATCTGAAGCAGTCACCGCCCGGGTACATACGAGCGAGTCCATTTTCTCTTGCAGCGGTTACAAAGTGTTGGTGGTTGAACCCAGGGGGTGGGAGGTTTGGGATAAAAGCAACTCGCCAGGTAGGGCCAGAGATTTTTTTTGTTAAGCTTGTTCATGGCTGGGGGGTGGACTTGTCTTTTTTCTTGGCGAAAGAAAGCAGCCGAAAAGGAACAAAAAGCAAAAATCAGGATCTATCTTTGACATGTTCACTTCGTTCCGTCCTCTTTCTCTCACACGCGATGTTTTTTCGTCATTTCTGGTGCGGCAAGTTTCTTGGAAGGCGACGCCAGGCCAATCACTCGTGTGAAAGTTACTTGGCTGCTACTGATAAAACGTTCTATGCATTCAGCAGTGGGTAGCACTTGCGGTTAGTTCGTCTTCGTGATAGCGATAGAACAACCCAACCCTCAGAACGAACACCAATGAGAATGAGAGTAACCCCTGTGATAAGGATAGTTGATCGGTTGCTTATCCTCGAATGATTTGTTAATATTATGAGAAAATCTCGGATTCGGCTTCTGGACTGCTTACGGCAACGATGGCGGCACGATGGCGGCGAGGGCATGCAGCAAACAGATGCCCCAGACGGAATGATGTATCCAACACGACAGGAGCGTACGAACGTACACCTGACCCAGGGAGAATACAAACACAAAAAAGATTAAGTGTCAACGAAAGGATTGACGCGGCGTCGGTTATCATCTATGAATACTCCATCTGAGTGCCCTCATATGATTTCTATTACCACCAAACCTTGAGCCCATGTGGTGGTGGGTGAACAAATCTCCGCAAGCCCCCCCGCCCCCCCCGCCCTTGCCCCCATGAGAACCAAGTCTATCATCTCCCGATGCCCCCTTGCCCACAAACAAATTCCGACATTTTTACAGTAGAGCAAGCACATTTGCCAAAACCCACCTGAATCACAGATTATGGCAAGCGCACCCCAATCTACCGACAATCGTGCCCTCCAGTACCTAAAAAGCAATTGCATCGAAGTTGACTGCTCGAAAGTGGAGGAAAAGACCGCAAAGAGAGGCGCAATCGTGCCGAAGCTATAGAAAGAAAGGCCTTCAACCAGAAGTAAGTGCCGACGCCATGAGTTCTATTGGACTTTACCGTTCGATATCCGAATCCTCAATCTGGATCAAAGTTCAAGCCTGCAGACATCCATCCAATGTTCCCTTTTCCGGATCCTCTCCGTGTGTTACTCTTTTCTTTCAACAATTGGAGCGGGGGTAGGGGGGCACTGCTGTTCCCGCCTACCCAACCCTCTTTTGAACCTCGTCACCCGACACCCCCCGCACGATTCTTCTCCAAATACTCATCAGCATCACCACCCACAAATAATCCCCGTAAGACTAGCCGTAAAAAATCCGGTCGGTCTTGAACCATCTGGATTACACTCTGAACGTGAATGCAACGGGGGTTGGTTGTGCTTCGGCCGGTCGCTGAATCCTCGTCCTCGCTCCCTTTGGCAAAACGAACCCAACACACGCTGATGGACGGGAGTCCTCCTCTTGAAAAAAAAATCCCCGTACATCGCATACATACGACAGACAGCCTCCTCTAAACGGCGGCGACCTGGTAGATAGAGCTCTCTGCCATGCCCTCGCCTGAGTCCACGCTTGCTTCCGAGGCGTGCCTCTGGTTTCTCTTGAACTTGAGGCATGCATGCTTCGCGAAGCTCCGGTCTCGCGACGATGCCTGCCTCTCTCTACGGTTCCTATGGCAGACGGGAATCTTCTCCCATTATTTAGTTACGCTTGGACTTGAGGTATTCCGCGAACGAGGGCGCGGCGGGGATGGACTTGCGGGGGTCCTCGTGTTTCACGGGTGCGGGGTCGCGGGTGTCTGCCATGCCGCCGGTGCCCTTGTGCCCGGGAGGAGTCTTGCTCGACGTCGTCGTCTGGCATCAAGAAGACAAATATACGCACAAGCAACAACGAGAAAACATGACGCAATATATGAGTCAACAACAAAGAGAAAATGTACTGCTCATTACTATAGTCGTCCATGTCGAGAACGGAAGGTTCTTGCCGATTTCGGCAGCAGGACGTCGTCGATGCACGACAGAACTCTCATGGCGCAAGTCTTGGAGGAGGGGGAACGAGGCACATGCCAGTCGCGGGGCCTTTGTAGGGCGGGGGTGGCCGATACTGCTGTATGGGGATGCTGAAACCTGCCGCTTGTTACGGGTAGAATTGATAAAGTTATTTCACGCCGTGCTTTGAATAGGCTGATCGACAAGGCGGGTGCTCGGTACACTTTAGGGCGGGGGAAACGGCCTGGCACATATCCGCCCTAAAACAGGGCTTGCACATATCTACGATGAGGACAAGTTTTCAGCAGACTCTTTGGGGGGTTCAACGCGAAAAGGGCGAGAGTAGGTGCGGTGAATCTATCCAGTCTATCCAAACCAAGACGGGCACAAATGAATTGCAACTCGAGGGAAATTTCACGTGTGGTTTCTCGAATCGAGAAACCGGGAGCTTCAAGGGTCTCAACCGAATTACAGCAGTACAACACGCACAAAGGTAAAGTGCATCACACTGATGCGGCAAGCGGGGAAATGGAAATCGAATCCTCCAGTGCTAACCGGCGAGTTCGACATTGTATGCCAGAACAACCACAGTCGTTCGAGTACGAAGTGCTTGCGACACAGCTTTTGCCTCCCGACGGCACAAACCAAGTTGTAGGGACAAGAAACGTTTCGGGCACACAGCGATAATCATCATCTTGGCGGAAGACAATCAGGAATAGAAAAACAGCGCCAGCACTTTATCCAATTCACCAACGACGACGGGTGGCATGCACGACCAGCTGTTGCAAACGCCGGCGGTTAGGGTTTGGGTTAAGGCCACGGTGACGTTCAGGGACAGACAGGGCTAGGGGCCTTCAGGGTAAAGCCACTGGCGTTGTCCTTTTAGTTTTAGCGTCAGGGATCGGGTAAGCCTTTTCTCACCGGGGTGGGGCTGGAGGTGTCGCAGAAGGCCAAAAGCAGGAGGGAGAGTAGTCCATTGGGCGGCAACGCACATGGTTGGCATGGTTGGCGACACAGCAACACGCGATACGGTGGGGGCACGAGGAGAGATTATGCGGCGGGGGGGGGGGGGGAAA